CCCCCCCCCCCCCCCCCGCCCCCCCCGCCCCTGCGCCCGCCGGCCCCCCCCAGCAGCATCCCCAGCCCACCTCCGCGGACCCCCTCCACCTCCCCACCGGCCAGCAGCCCCCTGGTCCTGCAGCCAGGTCCCCAGCCCAGCACCTCCGCTCTGCAGGAGGCTCGCCCGGACCCGCAGCAGCCCCCGCTGCCCGAAGCCCCCCGAGCTGCGGGAGAGGAGAATGTCTCGCTTTCCAGGCAGATGGAGTCCCTGGACCCGCAGACCTCTGCCGATCAGTATTTCACCACCCTGCACACCTGGCTCTGCGATGTTATTTCGTGCTCGGTGTCCAAGTCCTCCCCAGAGCTCCTGCAGGAGTGGTTGAAGAAGGCAGAGCTGGTGGAGGAGCTGGATGAGATGCCCAAATCCCCCTCGAAACCCAAGAACGGCTCCAGGATCCCCGAACCTCAGAAGCTCACCAAAGGCAAGGAGATCTGGCTGGCTTTCCAGGACGTGGCCGCTCTCCTCGCCAACCTGCTCTCTCAGCTGCAGACCTTCATGTTCGCTCGCAAGTGTCCTTTCCCCCACGTAGTCCGGGCAGGGGCCGTCTTCATCCCCATCCACGTGGTGAAGAAGAAGCTCTTCCCCAAGCTCTCCGGGGCCTCCGTTGACCAAGTGCTGCAGGAGCACAAGGTGGAGCTGCGCCCCACCACGCTTTCGGAGGAGAGGCACTTGCGGGACCTGGAGCTGAAGAGCTGCACCTCCCGCATGCTGAAGCTCCTCGCCCTCAAGCAGCTCCCCGACATCTACCCGGACCTGCTGAACCTCCACTGGCACAACTCCATCAGGCAGCAGCTTGGTAAGTAGCCCGGCATCTCTCTCCTGGAGGGCTGGTGTCACACCAGTGGGTCCCCGGGACTTTTCCAAGGAAGCTCCAGCTGCATCTGCCTCCCAGATGCTGCTGTTCGGTGGGAGCGTCCACTGCTTCCACAGTCCTTTGGCATCCTTGTCCTACCCAGGGTTCTGCAGAGCAGAATATTTAGCTTTTCTCCGTGGGTTGTAGAGGGAGAAAGCTGGTCCTGGCGGGGGGTGGGTGGAGCTGGGGGGGCTTGTCGGTGCCTGCCCGGGTGAGAAAAGTCATCCCAGCAATAGCAAGGAGGTGACGGTCACCTCCAGGCCACCTCTCCCCCTCCAAGCACAGTGGGGCCAGGCAGCTGAGGAACACGCTGGGATGTGGGCAGCGTGCGTGCCGCGTGGCGGACCTGCCACCCATGGCTGTCCCATCCCACCGGTGGCAGTCCCACCACCCTTCCCTGTCCGGACGCCCTTTTGCTGCTGCTCAAGGCCATCACCGACAGCTTTATTTCTTACAGGTTTGAGCTCACAGGCTGGCCAGCATCCCTCCAAGTAGGTAACTCTTCTTGCGTGCGCATTTGTATGTATTTATAGGATTTCTATGTAGTTTTGTGAAGGTGTATGTATATTTGTGTGTATTTACCATGACGACAGGGGGCTTGGGCTGGCTGGGGAGGTGAACACGAGCGGCTCTGCTGCCTGGGTTGGGCTGGAGCGGGGGTCTGTGGCTGGGGGGGCGGGCATTATTTGGGACGCTGCCTTCGGTAACCACTCTTTCCTCTCCCAGGTAGCCCTGGTGTGGAGGCGCTGAAAGCTGATGGCAAAGCAATAGCCATGGGTAGCATGAAGAAAAAGGACGCACAAAGCAACGTGCCAAGGGCGACAGCCGAACCGCCCACCCGTGAGGATGGGAAAAGGAAGGTCCCCCTCGTCCCCAGAGCAGGGTCCTCTCCTGGCAGCGACACGGCTGCCGAGACGAAGGAGGCCGTCACCAGCAGACCTGGAGGGAGATGCTCGGCTCTCACCAGCAGGGCGGCTGTGCCCGAGGATGGGGACAGATCCTGCCGGGATGCTGGTGCCTGGAGGCCATCGGTACCACAGGGACCCTCGGAGGACGATGCTCGGGATGGAAAACAGTGACAGGGACACATGGTCCAGAGATGCTCCAGGGCCATGAGCAGGGATGGCTGGTGTGGTACCCTGGCCCATGGGGATGGGCTCGAGCCCCTAGCAGCAGCTGGAGCTGCATTTCTTCTAATGTATTGTCTTTTAGCGCATCTCCCACCTCCATCCACAACCGGCCAGGCTGCAGCCAGTGAACCGGGAGGGAAGGGCTGGAGTTCCCACGGAGCTGGAGGGCTGGAGCAGCGTCTGTACCTGCAAGAGCAGTATGGAAATGGCCACACCATCGTTCTCAGCCTTGGAGAAAGGCTGGCTACTGCAGGGATGATTTACCACGTCCCCTCCTCTCTCCTCTAACTCACCTCTTCTGCTTTATACGTGCCGTTCCCACTAAACATACCTTCCTCCTGGTTTTTAATCTTTGAAGTGCTACAGAGACTTAAGACAACGTTAAGGGTCAAGGGAACCGCAACTTCTGTAGTCACAGGACTGACTTTTTGGTTGTTTTAAATGAAGACATTTTAAAAATGTTATGAATTTACCTTTATAAGGAGCTGCTGCCTTCAGGTTATGTGTTTTTTTTAAAAAAAAAAGTAATTTATACTTGTCTTTTTATTTAAACTCACGGTTTCACCTGTTTACCGTGCTGGACCAAGGCGGCGGGAGTGAGCTGTTCAGGCTGAGAGTTTCAGTCCCAATCATAGCTGAAAAAGGCTGCAAGAAAGATTTAAAGACTGTTAAAGAAAACCAAACCACTTTACAACACAGATCCCAGATGTCCCAAAGGAGAACATGGGAGATGCACATTTGGGGATGACCTTGATGGAGACATGGCGACCCTGGTGTGACCAGAGGGGCAGGAGAGGGGAGCGATGCTGCGAGACCTTGGAAGGAGAGATCCTTTCCATCCCGCGGGCGCCGAAATGTTGCTGGGCATCCCAGGAGGGATCCCAGCAGCTGAGGACCAGACGGACTTTCCCTCACCTGGTCTGCAGCAGTGGTACACAGCAGAGGCCTTACAAACTCGTCACTCAGGTGTTTCTCCAGCTGATGCAGGGCGTGGAGGAACAAAATGAGGATTATTATTATTTTTTATTTCACTACAGAAAATATTTATTTTAAACTAAGAAAATGGAGGGGGGGAAAAAAGAAAAAAAACAAACTACCCAAACCATACCATAGACTCTTTTTAGCCAAAAGGTGTGTTTGCTGGCCTGGGGAGGCGGTGGCTGCCACTGCCATGTTTTCTGTGGGTGTCTTTCTGGTTTTCAAGTGGGATGTACTGGCCATGTGGGGGACAGGGAAGGGGGGACACTGCTGTTCTCCTCACTCTCACTTGCCATGCCATGTTTGTGCATAGCATTGTAAAGCAATTTGGAAAGCAGTGTTTGTTAATAATATTGTAATTTTTTTATATATATATATATAAGGTTCCAGGGAAGAAAGTTCCTTCACTTTATTTAATATTTTGTAAGAATATGAATTTTAAGAGATGCCTCGCCTGATTAAAAGGGTTTGGCTCATTTCCAAACACACCATGCTTCGGTCTCTGCTTGCCAGCATGGGCACAATGGGACCTTTCTGGGGACACGGCGGGTCCCAAATCAGTGCCCAGCATCTCCTGGCTGGCTGGGCAGACCAAGCAACAGGTTTGGGCACCCCCATCCAATGCACTTTCCTGCTTCTCCCTGCAACAAGCCATGAGTGAGGTGCCTAGCCATCATCAGAGGGCTGGATCCAGCATGTGACCTGCCGGCGATGCCCGGCGGTGCAGGGAACCCCTGTGAGTCACCCATCGGTAAGGGAACACATCCCAGCACCTGTGAGGGGTATGTCCGGAGTCCCCCAGATGACAGCCAGGGAGGAAGGTGCTGGCAGAGGTGTCTGTGTGTCGGAACATGGGCAGAGGAGCTGTGGGGTGCAGCAGGGATGGCACTAGTCCCCAGCACTCTTCTGCCTGCCGCTGGGGGGATGCACCCCGGGCTGATTTAGCGGGGACCCCCAAGACACCCTACCCCTTGCGAGCCTCCATCAGAAGCACGAAATCTGCCCAGTCGCAAGAGCCAAGCACTCCAAACCACATTTTCCAGCCCAAATTACTCAAGCCCAGCAGGGAAACAGCACTGCCATGACCCCCCCGCCCCCATACAGGGCATTTTGAGGAGCATCTGTAGTATTTGGGGAACAGCCTACCTGGAGGAACAGGCACAAATGCTCCTTCATCTGCCAAGGGCTTAATGAGGAGCAGATGGAAGCTGGGACCCCTCCAGCCAGGAAAGAGCTTCACCTGGAGGAGTGCAAATGAGATTGTGTGTTAATTGGGAGCAGCTGGAATGGAGACACCCCCCACCTGCTGGGAAATGAGATAAAAGCACAGGACTGGGGAGCAGCTTCATGCTTTCTGTGGCTGCTATCAGGTAAGGGGTGCTGGTGGGTTGGAAAGCCTTGCTGTCCCTGGTGAGGTTGCCTGGGGTGAGGTGGAGACTTGGTGTGATGTCTGAGGCTGGTTACAGCCCTGCTTTGCACTGGGAGCCTCCCTGGCTTCTCCTGAGGGATGCTGAGGCTTGGCACAAACTTCCCTGAGCCGGAGCAGCTGCTCAGTGCTGCTGGAGACCAGGGAGATGTTTTGATAAGGGGCTTTCTGTCCTTGGCTCTGGTGCGTAGGATGCTCTGGGGGTGGGCCAGCCACTGTCACTGGGCTGGGGGCGGGGGTTAAAGCTTGGAGGGACCCAGCCTAAAGCTCCTGCTGTATCTCTCCGCAGCTAGGCTCCCCCTATGGCCTCTCCCAGGCAGAGCCGAGGGGCAGGACCCCCGGACCCCAGGGACGTTGGTGCCCTACCGCTGAAAATGATGTTCTGTGGTGAGAGGGAAGGGGCCGTGGCCACGGCCCTGAGTTCTACCGCCTGTGTGGCTGCCACTGCCAGCGGCCTGTGGTGCAAAGCCTTCCTGGTGCTGGCTGTCTGCCTGTCTGCCACTGCTCTCCCATACAGCCTGGGGTCTCTGGCTGCTCTGCCCCAGCCCCCCCTGGGCTCCCTGCCTCCTTCCCGTGCTCGGCCAGGCTCGCCAGCCTCCCGGCGAGGGACGGGTGATGATCTGGTGGCCACACGTGGGGACCTGCTCAATGAACCGGCCATGCGGCAGCGTGGGAGTGTGCTGATGGACTCTGCGGGTACCCCAGGTTGCTTCCTGGGGGTGAAAGGAGATGTGACCCGCAGTATGGATGCTGAGGGATGGAGTCTGGGGAGGCCAACAGCAACCGCTGCCTCTCCCTCGATGGCTCGGACCTCACCAGAGCGGCAGCATGGATCCAGGGATGTGAAAGGGCTCAGGTTGGGCGCAAGAGCGGCTGTGACGCCATCCCCTGCGCGGTGGCTTGGCACAGGGGTGCCTGCTACCTCAGCTCCGCTCCTCCAGACCATGGGTGACCCCGGTCCTGTCTTCCAGCATCACCTTGCTCTAGGAAGCCCCCGTGGCATGGGACCAGGCTCACGTGATGCAACGCCAGTGCCTGCCGTGACCTCAGCCCGTGGCCTCGGGCAGCCAGCAGGCATGGCAGAGCCCCGGGGGTCTGCAGGGGCTGTGTTGCTGGGGGTGGTGCCCACCCAGCTGGTTTCACCTGAGGGGGCTGCTGGGGGGGCTCACGGCCCATCTGATGCCCCAGCACGTGCAGGGTCAGCGTGGGTGCTGACAGGCACTCTGTCGCAGAGCCACAGCAGAGCCGACCAGCCTGGAGGTGACCAAACGCTGGCCCTTGGGGCATCCCCTGACTATTCGACCCACAGAGCAGATCTCAGCCTGGCTTCAAGCTCTAAGCCTCCTGCTGTGGCCACAGCCAGGAATTTGCCTTTTCGGGCCAGAGTTGTGACAGCAGCGCAGGCTCCCAGCAGCATGCCTGCATCTGATGAGTCTGCAGCCAGTGGCTTCTCTGATGTCCAGCATGGAGCTTTAGTTGCCAGAGCCACAATGAGGAGCTGTGATGGGCAGAAGAAAGCGGAGAGACCAAGCCCTGGCCTGCCTGACCTTGGTATGGGTGAGGACTGCACTGCTGTTCCTCACCTGGTGCCCCTTCCAGGGCTGCCCTCAGCCCTGCCAACAGAAAGGACATCCAGCTCGACTGAAATGCATACTGGTGCTGCGTGGGTAACCTCTGTTGTGACACCCGAGATGCTCTGGGACACACGGCCTGCTGGCACCTTCCCGCATGGCAAAGCTGCTCTGCTGGCAGACACCGTCTTGGCCAAGGTCCCAGAAAATGGGTCTGGACTTCTGACCACTGTCTTGGCATCACTTCCCAGTGCTGCATTGGCTCAAGATGTCAACCACCCACAGGTGCTGGCTCCCTTCCTTCCTACAGCAGAGTCTGGGGGACCTGCTGTCACATCAGGGAAACCAAGTGATTGGTCTTCCCCCCCTGCAAGGCAGACTCTGCTGACATCCACTGAAGCCCACCCTTCCCCTGCTCAGACCAGGGCCCCCAGCGCTGGAGGTCCCCCTGTGATGGGGCTGAGCTCAGCAGCCTCTGATACTGTCCTGGAACCTGGAGTGACCAAAGCCTCCTATGAGGATGGAGATGTTATGGTGGCTTCCCCTTCTCCAAGAGCTGCAGGTGTGACACGTGGCTTCTCCCTGGGGTCACGTACCCAGAGGCCATCTCTGCATCTGGATCCCTCCCTCGTGACAGCATCTGAGGATGGACCCACTGCAAGCCAATGCCAGGCCATGAAGGTGGCAGAGATGACTGTGCTGCCTGGACCGGTGGCTGTGGCAGAAGAAGCCGGGCACAGTGAGCCCTGGACAGCATCGGTAGGAGCCACTGCTGCTCCAGCAGGACCTCCAGGGCCCACCCATGCCAGCCCAGGCTCTGTGACTCTTCCCAGCTCCAAGAACCCTGCTCTGGGGCATTGCTCTGAGGCTGTGCACCACACCGGCACCACAACCTCGCCATCTCCATCCTACCTGCTGACTTCCACCGGATCTGTGCATGCAGCTGGCTCCCTGCCCAGCTCTCAGACCCTGGCTGCACCATCAGGAGTGACCCTTGATGTTCAGTCTGTATCCGGTCACTCTGTCACCTCCCAGCATCTCCCTACAGCTGCCAGAGAGACCTTCACCCCAGCTGAGTGGATGACAATGGGCAAACCTGGGTCCCCAGGGGCGAAGCATCCCTGCATCCCTGCATCCCACCCCCCCGGGCTCCCCTCTCCTGCACAGCCTCTGCCTGTGCATGTGCTGCCTTTGCGGTTCCGGCTCTTGGGCATCGCTTACGCCGAGGCTCTGAGCAGCAGGGCTTCGGAGACCTACAGGGAGCTGGAGGAAGAAGTGAGGCTGATGGTGAGCGCAGGAGCTGGTTGGTGGAGATACTGGTACTTCTGGGTGTAGGGGTTGCAGCTGAGAAGCTACTGCAGCAAGCCCTGCTGGGGTGAGGACCCTGTGGGCTGCATCAGCCCTGGCTTGGTCTATCACCTACCTAGGCATGGTGGAGACAAGCAAATCCCCAGCATGGCTCTGGCAGAGCTGGACTGGGATGCATGGTTTGAGGCGGGACTGGACTCCCCTCACCTCCAGCAGCTAACAGGGCCATTGCACACCATGTTGGTGTCAGGGTATTCCCTCCCGGGTGCTGGTTCCAGGCTGATGGGAGCCCTGGGTATGCCAGTTCAGCCATGACCATCCCCAGAGACCTGGTGTACCCTGGGCAGATTATGCTGCCTTCCCTCTGTATTTATTGCATGCCTCCTGGTACAAAGCTTCTCAATTAACAGGTGCTTCTTTCTTCCAGCTAAACCAAATGCTGTCCACCTATGAGACCTTCCTGCAGGCAAATGTCCTTGAGTTTATGTGAGTATGCAGCTCTGCCCTGGGGCAACAGATGTAGAGGGGTGTGTTTGGCTTGGAGGGAAGGGTTTGCCCAGCAAAATGCTCCAGATGGGTCTTGTGAGGGCCTATGCTCCCTCCCCAGGGTCATCATCCCAAGGAATCCTTGGTTGAAAGTGTCTGAAGCTCCAGATAAAGCCACCTGAGACCTCTCTTCAGGTGAGGTGTTAATGTGAGGATGATGGGGCTCTAAAGCTTCTACCAAAGGGGAGGTGGGCTGCCCATCATCTCATCTCCTTCCCAGGAATGGCTCGGTGGTTGTGCGAGGGGAAGCTCTGTTCAGGGGAGATGCTCCTGCTCCCACCAACTCCCACCTCATCCGGACGGTCGTCACGGAGGCGAGCAAGGGAAGGAGCATCTTCAGCTGGCAACTGGAGCCACAATCTGTCCAGTCCAGTGGTAAGCTGTGGAGATCTTCCCACAGCAGAGCTGCTGCTGTCAAGTGTCCTCCCTATACCTCTATCAAAGCCAAAACCTCCCCAGCTTGGATTTCAGCCTTCACCTTCACTTAGCATTCCTTCTCCTGACCCACGCAAAACCCTTTAGCGTGAAGGATGCTGGACACCATGTCTGCAGCAGTTGGACCTGTGTGGTCCCGTGCTTCTGCTAAAGTCTCTGTCTTCCCCTCCTTGACCTGCTTCTCCTGTCCTGGGAGGTGGTAGATACCAAGCCCTTCCCTCAGCTGCCCTGCTGGCTTCTGCTTTCAATGTGTGGCAGAGGATGAACTCAAGGCTGACTGATATCTCCCGGGGAAGGTGGAGGAACAGGTATGGGCATAACTGCCTTCTGAATCCTTTTAGGCTTCAACCTGGAGAACCTGGAGCCAGAGAAGCTGTCCATCTCTCTCACTGCCCTCCAGTTTGGGAGCAGCAGGATAAACTCCCTGGAGAGGCTGATCAGCAAGGTATAGCAAGCCTTGGTGGCTCTTCTAAAGGATGATGCTGCGAAAACAGGTGCTGGCTACTGCACTGCCTGCCAAGTGGGATAATGGGCCCTAAAGCAGGGGCAGGGTGTGAGCTGTTGTCTCCTCTTCATCTAGGTGACTTGGTCTCTCAATGCCCTCTACAGTGTGAGGAACTTCACTGTTACCCAGCTCAGGTATGGGACACAACTACCCTTCTCCAAAGCTCTTTGTTAAGTTACCTTTGCTACCTCTGGCGTGTTCTGCAGCTGCAAAGGTGGAAAGGCTGAGTTGTGCTGTGCTAGGAAACCTGGAAGGGTGGTGTGCAGCTGGTGGCAAATACTGCAACTGAGCACATTCCCTGGGCTGAGCAGTCATGAGCTGCTGAAAAAAAGACCAGCAAGAGTGTGCTTGGTGAGCCTGGTCTCAGCTCTCCCACCTTGCTTAGAGCCCTTCTCTCCCCTTAGAAACCTCAGTGGGGACCTGGAGATTGCTGGAGACCTCTACCTTGACACAGTCATCCATGCTGACGTTGCAGAGGTTCTGCAGGCCTTGACAGCTCTGGCAACCTGCTCCGTGGACCTGACCTCCCTCTCAGTGGAGGGTAAGGACAGTCCCTGTGTGTGGTAGGGCTCGCTGCCAGCTCTGCTCACCTAGCACTCATGTCTTGCCTCTTCAGGAGCCAGGCTTCACCTACAGGTTTACCCGGTCTCCTTCCTCATCACCAACAGACGCTTCAGTGAGGACCTTCTGGATCCACATGCTATAGAGCACCAGGAGCTCACCAGAGACCTTGAGGATGTGGTAGGCATGGCTGGTGGGAGGGGGCCAGGGTCCTCCCAGGGTGCTGAGCAAAGGAGGCTGAGGACCACTGGAGGACAAGGGACTACTTTATGCTGTCCAAACCAGACCTTCAACTCCAGTGCTGTGGCTGATTACCTGCTGGAGGCAGGCACGGAGGCTTTAGCGGCAGAATGTTTTCTCTCTGCTGATGGTGCTTCAGTGGTTCAGGCCACCACGATGCAGCCAGGGACCTGGAGGTGCTGCAGAATCACAGCTGCCCTGTGTCCCTGAGGTAGTGGCTGTCCCAGTTCCATCATGGCTGTGGAAATGGTGGTCTGGCTGGGTGAAAAGCCCCAAAGGCTGGTGGGGAGCTGAGCAAAACTTCTCTTCCAGGTGGCGAGAGCTGTGAGGGACCACAGGAGCTTCCTGCAAGTGGTGATAAGAGGATTCCTGTGAGTGGGAGCAGAGGGTCTGCTGGGGCAGAAGGGAGGGGCAGGGAGGTACAGAGCCAGGGAGGTCTCCCTGTGACCATCAACCAACAGGTCATGGCTGTTGGGTGTATCATCTCAGCCACAGAAGGGTTTGCAACAGGCAGCTGAGGTCAAGCATCTACCTACTGTCTCAGGAGTGACTTGCTGGACCCCCAGGGATGGCCCTTCCATCCCAAAGAGCAGATGCAAAACCAATGCTTCCCTGGGTGCAGAGACATCCTCCTGGGGCCCCTCTGAGCAAAACCAGCTGGGAGTCTGGCTGTGCCCATGGCCACAGCCCAGCATATGGCTGCAGGGTCACGGTAGGACTGGCAGCTGCTGGAGCTCTTCCCAACTTCATCCACAGGCCTGGCTCCTTGATCTGCCATGGGGATGTGGTCTTCCAGCACCCTGCTCCAACCAGCCTGGAAGTTTTGGAGGCACTTGTGCTCTCAATTGGGCCAAACAAGACTTTGGCTGGTTCAGTCTTCCAGGTGGACCCATACTCTCTTGCTGTGGGAGGTAAGCTTCCCATTTGGGGTATGGGTATACAGGTTTCATCAGCTTGTGGCTCCATGCCTGCAGTGTGAACAGAGTAGACCCACAACCAACTAGATCTGGATCCCTTGTGCAAAGAGAGGGTGAGATGTCTTGCCTGGTAAGGTGAGCAGCTTGCAATGGTTGATCTGGAAGTACAATTCTAGGAACAACCATGCCCTATCCCTCTGCGCAGCCTTGGGGGGGATGGAGACAGACCCATCTGCTGCAGGCTGGCATAGGACAGGAGGGAAGGGTTACCTGGAAAGAGCATGGAGGGTGTCAAATGGATGTATATTGGCATCCTATATATTACCTCTGGTCTCCTAAAGGAGAGTGGGTGGCTGCTGCCTTGCGAGGTAGAGCCCCTGTGTCCTGCAAGCTGTCCTAACTGCTGTCCTCTGCTCCAGAGGACACTCTGCAGCCTCCCCTGCCCCAGCCAGGCTTTCCTGAGTATGGTGTGGCCATCATCATCGTGTGCGGCCTCTGCATCATTACTGCTCTGATCATCGTGCTGGTGGTAAGGGTGATGTCTGTCTGCTGGGGCAAAGCAGTCCTGGTCCCTGTGCGAGGGGAGCACAGAGCAGAGGACCAGCATGGGGCCAGGCATGGCTGCAGCTTCCATGCTCTCCTCCTTAGTGTCTGAGGACCAGGATGTTCAGCTGGTGGGATATGGCAGTCCTCTGGGACAGAAGCTACTCTGAAGCGAGGACCCAAACCCTGGAAATGGATAACCGAGGGATCTGGTCACCCTCTGAACAGGCAAGTGGTCTTTACGCTCCCTGGAATTAGTTTCTGTGCCTTGGAGCTGGAGCTTTGAAGCACAGCTGGCGTTCCTGCAGGTCATAGGTCACTGTTGTACTTGGTGATGGTCCTGGGCAATGCCAGGAGTTGGAGAAACCCCTGGGGGGCTGGAGGGAAGGAGACTTCACTCCCTGCCCTTGCTGGAGGTGGGCACGGTGACTTGTCCTCCTCTCACCCGCAGGGCCCTGAGGATGCTCAAACAAGCTTGCAAAACAGTGCTGCCTGATGAGAAGATGCAGCTGATTGGGGGGGAGCCTGAAGAGGGGTTGTGGAGGGAGAGATGTTCAGATGATGCTCATCAGGATGCAGCTGCCAAACCCTCCCTGAGAAGGATGCAGGCTCAGGTGTATAAAGGAATAACTTTGTACGTTGAACTTTAATAAACTGTTTATAGAATGTCAAACCTAGCTGTGAATGGTCTCTGTTGCTGCTCCTCCCGCCTGGGAGGGCAGCCCTGCCCTGGGCTAGGAGCTGTAATGGGCAGCTGCCAGACACTGTGTGGCTTATACTTTACACCCAGGCTTGCTTAAGAGCTGCATGCTCTTCCTGGCCAAACCTGGCTTTGAGCACCTCAAGCTGTGTGCTGCTGGTCTATCTGGTATTGATAAGCTGAGCTTGGTCCTCTCCAGCTCTTGATTAACTGCTCAGTATGGTTAGTTTGTTTAAAAGGGGGTGGGGGGGCGTTGAGTGCTGGGCTGCTCCCTAGGGAAAGCAGCCCTTCCTGTTCTGCACTGAGCACTCCCCTTCACCCCAACAGGCACAGCACCCTATGATGGGGGCTGTTATTGCTGCCTATTTAACTACCAGGCAAAGCTTTTTTTTTCCCCACCCAAAAGCTTGTTTTTTCCCTCTCTGCTGCATGCTTTTCCTCAATGTGTGGGACTGTGCTCTGTGCAGAGGCAGAAAGCAGGCTCTGCATACAGATGCTTGCTTCAAAAAAGGGATTTCAGTTGCTTTTTTTTTTTACTCTCTAATCAAAGGTCATCCAGTCCTGTGGCCCTCCAAAGCAGGTGGGGAAAGCCTCTCTGCAGCCCAGGCAAGGGGCAGGGCTCACCCCATCCTGCTCTGAGGGTGCTTGTCCCTGCTTGCACCCCATGAGGGCTGGTCCCATAGGAGTAGGGAGCCTGGATGCTGCTGGCTGGGATGTGCTGAGCTCCCCTGCTCCTTTCAAAGGGGGAGAGGAGCTAAAACTAACCCTTCCCTGTGCTCTGCAAAACAAGGAACTTTAAAGGGAACAATGCTTAAGCCTCATTGTTTCTAAGACTATTCATATTAGACATATAACTAATGATTAGAGATTGCTTTAGATGTGATTAATAGAATGCAGGTGCTTATAAAACAATATGCATAAGCTGCTCATTTGTCCTGTGTGTAGCCCCCACTGTGGCTGGCTTAAAACCCAGTCAAGCTGAATCAACAGAAGAAGGATCATACATCTTAGACCTAAGACATAAGAGTAAGTGATTAACTTTAGAGCAAGATAAATTAATAGAATAGCCTGAGTGATTTTTCAGAAATTCAAAGGTCATCTTTGATGTGTAAGAAGATAAGTGATTGTGGTGACCGGAGACCTTCTGCCTACGACCTCTAACTTCAGAAGAACTGGGACACTAGAATTGATGAGATATGATGATGATGAATGATAATGACATGGGAACCGAGATCCACTGGAATGTTATAAAGACTTTGGACTGGGATAACGGGTGGTAAAAAGGTATATAAGACTAAGAAATTTTTGGAAGGTTGCCATTCACTGTGGTGGTGGCCCAACTCTGAGTTGTTAATAAAGCAAACCTAGAGAAACCCATGACTAAAAATTCTTTAACAGGAACGCACTTAGCGCTCCTCAGCTCCCACCCTCCCCTGCCAGCTCCTGCCTGGAAATGACCCACAAGCAGCAAATTCCTCAGGGCGGGGAAAAACCTGCTACATCCCCAAACCTTGAGAAAATCAGAGCTGAGGTGCTGGAAGGCACAAAGAAGCTGCCACCACTGCTGCGTGTTAATTCAAATCTGTAGGGCTGGCTTTGCAAAGCAAGAGCCGAAAACTTCCTCGGAACTGACTCACCTCCTCACTTGGATGTCACCTACCCCCTGTGCGTGAGTGAAGAGTAATAAGAGTAACCCAAAGCCTGACCAGCTGGCTTCTGCTGTACTTAAGAGGAGAAAAAAAGGAAGCGATTCTATAGAAGTCTCTTTAAAGGCTGGTTTTCTAGAAGTGACTCTTACCCAAAGGCACAGGCGGGAACCACCTGACCTGCAGCCGTGAAAGTGCCAAAACAGGGGCAATCCCAATGGTGGGAAAATAATGGATGATTGTGAATGTGCTCAAGGGACTTGCAGCTGGGATGTAAAAAACCACATGTATCATACTAATCGTTTTGTCCTGTGCATTTGACAAGTGGAACATCTGTATTCAGATAACATCAGCCTGCGATAGACTCAGAGGCACCTATTGAACATGCTTGAGATTCCTGCCCTGCTGTGGGAAAGATCAAGGCATGGTGGTAAACTACGTCTCTACGAATTCCTGAATTACAGGTGAAAACATCAGGTTTGGCGATCCTTCAGCATGGACCGAGCTCCGCGATGCCTGCGTCCTCACTTGCGTGCCTCTGCCTGGGCGCTGCTCCGGGGATCCCCTGGTTGGCAAGGTAATGAAAATAAATTTACTCTTTGCCTTTCATCTGCGGTTTTGCGGTTGTTCCTGCATCCTGCCCGCGCTGGTTTGCACGCCAACAAATGGGCTAAGCGAGTGTGCGAGTCAGCCTGGATAAAAACAAACTGTACCGATGAAGAACGAGGCAGGGGGAAAAAAAAAAGAATACCCTGGTCCATCTAGAAATGACACGATGGGGTGGTTTGGCAGTTTGAGGTTGCTGGGGTGAATGGCCGGGGGCTGGCAGCTGCCTTGCTCTGCAGCAGCCGCCGGGTCCCTGCCCGATGCCCTGGAACCCCGCAGCATCCCCGAGCTCCCACCTGCAGCATCCCCCTCACCCGGTCCCTGCCATGGCCCAAGACCTACTGGGTTTTGTTGGGTGCCAGTACTTCAGATGCCACCGCTGTATCACCTTGCTGCTGGGTGAGAAAGCCGTCACGATGCCGCAGGCTCTGGGCTCCTTCCTCCTCCTCCTCCTCCATCCCCCCAGCCCTGAACTTTGGCATCAACTTTAACGTGGCTGTCCCCCTCCTTGCGGAAAGATGCTGAGGAGGTGAAACGAGGGCAGGGTGCTTCCATCAGCTCTCCTGCAGGAGCAAACCCCTCCTCATGCTCTTCCTCCTCTTCCTCCTCCTCAGCAGGCGCTCCCTGGAGGGAGACAAGGCCATGGAGCAGCTTCTGCCTCCCCTAAACCTTGGGGACCAGAGGGGGAAGCCGGATCCTGCTGCGGGCTGCTGTCTGCCTGCCGTGCCGCTCTCAGCAAGAACCAAGCTTCCCCAGGGAGGTGGGGGGGTCATTCGGTGGTGGTTCCCCACTCCCCTGCCCAGCTGCTCCCCCTGATTCAAAGGAATCGGCTCGCAGAGGGACTGTAAGCCAAAGCACCTTTATTTTCACTGGTGGGGAGAGCGTAGGGTCTGCACCCTACAGAACGCACCTCCGTCCAGGTAAAATTTCAGTCAAACTTATATAGCATTTTTATCAAACATTCCATACATTTTGTGGTTAATCCCCGATAAACAAGCAGTTTGTAGTTACAAAACTTTAGTGCTCTATTTTGTCTATTGTGACTAGTTTTACGGTTTCCTAGATAGCAAGGCATACGTGCCTAAAGGCAGCATATCATATCCCTGCAGAGGGGTAGGACCCTGTTTATGGTTAGCCAAGCTAAAACATCTTAAAAAAAAAAAAAAAAAACCAAACAAAAAAACCCCAAACCAAACCCCAAGAACTCACAGTATTTGCTAACTCATTGTAGAAGATTTCAGAAAATTTAGGATAAGACTGTTAGATATTAATATAGAATGGGTTAAGGTTATTAACGGCAACAGAGCTGCTCAACAGGCCATGAACAGCGTTTGCAGCCTGCCCCCCTGTATAGCCCCAATCCAGTACTGGACTAAAACCCAGTCAAGCTAATCAGTAGACAGATCAAACAAAAGATGAAAAAATCAGCAAGATACAGGTGCGTAGCTAGGCAGTGATTAAAATATGTAGAACTTGCAAAGATAAATGGGAAATAGTTAATGGAACAACCAGAGAGGTTTTTTCAGGATTGTGTAGGTACGAGACTTCAAAGTAAAGGGGATGAGAAGATGACTGACCCAAGATGGACTTTGAAACCCACAGGATGATGACCGGACAGAACAAAAGAAGAATTGATGAGATAAGACAATGACGAATAGTAACGACATGGGAACCGAGATCCACTGGAACATTACAAAGACTTTGGACTGGGATAACGGGTGGTAAAAAGGTATGTAAGACAGAAATTTTTGGAAGGTTGCCATTCACTGCAGTGGTGGCCCAACTCTGAGTTGTTAATAAAGCAAAGCTAGAGAAACCCATGACTGAGAATTCTTTAACA